GTGGGGCCTGAGGGAGGGGGCAGGGAAGATGCCGGGCTGGGCGGGGCAGGGGGCATCAGGGGCCTCATGGAGGCCCCCCAAACCAGAGCTAATTGCTCCTCTCCCTGCAGAGCCATTGGCTACATGATGTTGTCCATCCTCTACCCGCTCGTCACCTTCGTTCTCCTCATTATCTGTGTGGCCTATTGGGGCATGACGGCCCTGTATCCTTCCACACTCCTCTCACCCCCCAATCAGGGCCCCCAAAGGCACCAACCCCTGCCTCCCCAACCCCTCCAGGTTTGGTTCGGATCAGGGCTGCCACAGAGGCTGGGAGCAGGCCCACATCAGAGACCTCTGAAAGGACTGGACACAACCCCCCTCCCCCCCGATCAGGTTTGGATCGAGGCACCCCACCCCACCCACCACCCAGGATTGGCCCAGATCGGGGCCCACACAGAGGCTGGGCTCCTGCCCCCATAGCAGCTGGGATCGGGCCCACATCGAAGCCCCCCTGAAGGGGTCAGACCCCTGCTTCCAGCCCCCCCACCCCCCCAGGATCAGGCCCGGATTGGGGCCCCTGTCCCTTTGCTGTTGCTTCCTTGACCCCCGCCTCCAGGTACCTGGCCACATCAGGGACCCCCCTGTACCGTGTCACCCCCAATAATGCCAGTGCCCCTGGCTGCTCTGCTGTCTCCGGCAACCAGTCCTGTGACCCCTTGGTGAGCACCCCGGGGCAGGGACCCAGGCATCCGGAACCCTGTGGGGGGCAGGCGGTGGGATCTCGAACGCCTGGGTCCTTTCTCCTTCCCCATCCCACCCAGCCTGAGGGGGTCACTGAGAGTGTGTGGGGGGAGGGGTTTGGGAAGAGGCTGAGGACCTGTTGTCCAGGGGCTAAGCCCTGTAGCAGGGGGTCCCGGTGGGTTGCACACGTGTGTGTGCTGGGACTCACACATGTGCTGCCAGGGGCTAGGCGGGATCTTCCATGTGGGGTGCATATGAGTGGGTGGAGCTGACTGTACTGGGGTGGGCCCCTCCTTGTTCCCCCATGTTCACCCACCTGTTCTCTCGTCTGTCCATCCTTCATCCATCCGTCCGTCCTTCTGTCTATTCTTCTTGCTTTCTCTCTATGTCCGTCCTTCCATCCATCCATTCATCTGTCCATCTTTCTGTGCATGCATCCCTCTCTTCATCTGTCTCTCCACTCACCTGTTCATCCATCTGTCCATCCTTCCAGCAGCTTTACCCAATACCCATTCATCTGTGCACCCACCTACCCATCAATCCCTGCCCACACCAACCCACCCACTCATCTGTGCATCCCCTGATCCACCCACACATCAATTCATCCTCATAGCCACCGGATCCATCCTTCCTTCTCTCCATTGCTCCTTTTGCCAACTCACCCACCTGCCCACACATGGATCCATCTCCACAACAACTGATCCACTTATCCATCCATCCATCCCCACGTCAGCCCACGCACTTATTTGTCTATCCTTCTGTCCCTATTCCTACCCATCTGTCTGTCTCTCTATCCCCACATTGTTTCATCCACCGACCCACCATCCATTTTTCTGTCCATCCACCTACAGATCAGTCCATCTTCACACCAACCTGCCCACTTCTCCACCCATTCCTCCATCCCCACATCTATCCTTCTGTCTGTCCATCCATCCTTCTATCCATCCATCCACCCATGCACCCACCCACCCATTCATCCCCATATCCACCCATCCAACCACCCACACACCTATCCACCCATCTGTCCATCCTTCTGTCCATCCACCCATACATTGATCCATCTCCAAACCAAACCACCCACAAATTTATCTGTCCACCCCCACATCCATCCATCCACTCAGCCTCCCACCTACCCACTCATCCATCCTTCTGTCCATTCACTCATACATTGATCTGTCTCCACAGAAATCCATCCATCCATCCATCCATCCATCCATCCATCCTTATGTCCATTTTTTCATCCATCTCTTCCTCCATCCACTCTCCCTTCCATCCATCCATCCATCCATCCATCCATCCTTTTAAACACGGACCCACCCCCACACCAACCCATCCATCCAGCCCCATCCACCCCCCTCCCCCGCTCATGCATCCACCATCTCCCCTCCCTGCAGACATTCAACGCGTCACAGTGGCTGCCATGCGTGACCGGCTGCACGTTCCTGGCATATGACACCAAGGGGCTGCTCCAGCGCAACCTCTTCAACCTGCAGATCTACAACGTGCTGGGGCTGCTGTGGGTGGCTAACTTTGCCCTTGCACTGGGCCAGTGCGTCCTGGCTGGTGCCTTCGCCTCCTACTACTGGGCCCGTGACAAGCCCCGCGACATCCCCCCCTGTGCCATCAGCGCTGCCTTCCTGCGCACCCTCCGGTCAGCCCAGACACCTGGGTTCTCTGGGAGGAGGGGGCCGGGGGCCAGGATACCCAGGCTTTCTGGGGGGAGGGAGGGTGTTAGTGCAAGGGGAGCCCTGGGTTCTCCAGGAGGGGTGTGTGAGGGCTGGGGGAAGAGAACAGGAGGGCTAGGGTCTAGACATCTGGGTTCTCTGGGAGGGGAAGAGGCTGGGAGCCTGGACACAGGTTCTCTTGGCTGAGAGGGGGATGAGAGCTGAGACACCTATGTACTTTTAGAGGGAAAAGGGGATGCGGGTTAGATCAGGGGGTCTGGGAGCCCAGACTTCTGGGTTCTCTCCCCAGGACTCACCCCACCAGGTCCCTCCGGCAGGTACCACGTGGGCTCTCTGGCCTTCGGGGCACTGATCCTCACCATTGTCCAGCTCATCCGCATCTTCCTTGAGTACCTGGACCATAAGCTCAAAGGTGGGGGCCCCCAACCCTCCTCACTCCCTACCCTGCTCACCTTCCCTGAGGTCCCCCACAGCATTGGGACCTCATACCCCCAGATCTCATCAGGTCAGGGGGTCTCTGCAATTCCTCACACCTCTCCGCCAGAGTCTGGGCCCCATCTCACCCTGGTCATGGCCCTCCCAAAACTTTGCCACCTTCAGCTGCAGCCTTCATCCCAATATCCAGCTGTGCTCCCCAAAAACCTACCTCTGATCCTCCCCTCCATGGTTGCTGACTTGAGATAATTTTTTTTTATTGATGATCTGAATTTTTTTACTGATGACCCAGTTTTTTTTACTGACATGGTGGAAGTATGGACGGATGGAAAGTTGGAAGAAAGCTGTAATGGCAGATGGAGATTTTGGGAACCCCCCTCCTTTTTCCAGTTGTTGCTCCCTGCCTTCACTCCAGGGAGCAGGGCACTAGAGCAGCTTTGGGAATCAGGGGTGCATCTGGGGCCAGGCTAGGGGTAGGAGTCAAGCCTGTGCAGGGCAGTGGTGGGTAGGAGAGAGCATCTGCATGGCACACCTCATGCAGCCCCCAGGTGGTGAGGCCCCCAGGGCATGGGACCCCACCCCAACTCTGGAGGGCTTAGAAGTTGGACAACCCTGATTTACATAATGCAACTGTAACTCTTCTATCAGGCCAAGTTCAGGCATCCATTTAGGTGTTTAACACCAATTATGGTGAAAAAGAGGTTGTTGGTAAAAAAAAAAAAAAATGTTGGGATTTTCCATTTAAAAATGTTGGGATTTTCATTAAAATTTTTGGGTTGCCTGATTAAAAAAAAGTTGGGATTCTCAGTAAAAAAAAAAACCCAAACCAAAAATTTTTGTGGGGGGGTCTGTTAAAGTTGGGATTTTCAGTAAAGAAAAAGGTTGGATTGTTAGTTTAAAAAAGTTGGGATTTTCAATAAGAAAAACACTCAGGGGTCTGTTAAAGTTGGGATTCAGTTAGAAAAGGTTGGGATTTTCAATAAAAAGGGGTTTTGGTTAAAAAATATTGGAATGGCAGTAAAAAAAATTTGGGATATCAGTAAACAGTTGAATTGTTACTAAAAGAATATTGGGTTTCCAGCAAAAGAAGTTGGGATTGCCGGTAATGAAAAGTTGGACTGTCAGTTAAAGCAAGTTGGGGTGTCCATAAAAGAGTTGGATTGTCAGTGAAAATGTTGGGATTTTCTGTTTTTAAAAGAAAAAGTTGGATTGTTAGTAAAAAAAACAACTCCCCACCCCAAAAGATGCTGTGGGGTGGGAATTGCTGGTTCATGAGTAAAAAGTTGAATTTGGCAGTCAGAAAAGTTGGGTACCAGTTAAAAAAAAACAACTGTTAGTTTAAAAAAGTGGGGGATTGTCAGGAAAAAGAATGTCAGTAAAAATGAAAGGTTTGGAAAGTTGGGGTCCAGGGCATTTGGGGATCCAGGGGTGACCCCCCAGCAGTTCAGGGCTTGAAGGCGGGGCATGGTGACTGCCCTGGGTGGGTGCTTGGTCTGGGGGGTTGGGGTGCATGGGGGGGGGTCTGATGACTAATGCCCCGCCAGGTGCTGAGAACCCCCTGACCCGGTGCCTGCTCTGCTGCCTCAAGTGCTGCTTCTGGTGCCTGGAGAAGTTCATCGAGGGGGTCCCAGGCTGTGTGGGGAGGGGTCTTGGGGTGTCCCAGGGGGTATGGGGTTGATTATGAGGACAACAGTGTTGGGCAGGGGGGCTGCATGTGGGAGGGACCAGCATGTGTGTGATGGGGTGGGGTCCCTGGGGAGGGGTCTTAGAAGGGGTCTCTCAGAGGTCACTGGGGGATCTAGGGTGTGTATTGAGGTCACTGGGAGGTCACAGGGCGGGTCCAGTGTATATGTATTGGGTGTGACTACAGGGGTCATGCAGGGGGCAGTGTGTGTGTATTGGGAGGTTCTGGGGGTCACTTAGGGGTCATGGGGGTCATTAAGGGGTCAACAGGGGGTCCAATGTGTGTATTGTGTGTCACGGGGGGTCCTGTGTCTGCGTATGTATGTGTCTTGGTCACTGGGGGGAGTCCTAGGGGTCACTGGGGTCATTGAGAGGTCACTGGGGATACAGTGTGTATGTACTGGGGTCACAGGGGTCACTGAGAGGTCAAGGAGCTCCAGTGTATGTATATATTGGGGGAATCACTGGGGGTCATTGAGAGGTTATAGGGGGCTGCAGTGTGTGAGTATTGAGTCCTGAGGGTGTTGGTGGAATCACTGAAGGGTGCTGGAGGTCACTGGGGTCATTGAGGGATCACTGGGGGGTTTCAGGGGTCAGCTCTGGGTGGCACCAGGTTGGGGGTTCTGTGGGGGCTCCCAGGTTTGTGTACTGGAGGTCTCTGCAGGGAGCTCTGGGGGTGTGAAGGGGCATCAGCCCAGCTGGGGGTGTGGGCTTGGGGGTCGGTCAAAGGGAGCCACTGGGCTGCTCAGGGTTGGGGGGGCACTGGGGCCAAAGTACCCCCTGCCCCCCAGATCGCCATCTACGGGAAGAACTTCTGCGTCTCGGCCAAAAATGCCTTCAGCCTCCTCATGCGCAACATCCTCAGGTAGCCCAGGCACCTGGGTTCCCTGGCGGGTGGGAGCAGGGGTGTTGGGAGCCTGGGCACCTCAGTTGTCTGGGAGAGCGGTGGGATGTGGGAGGGGGGGTGGGCTGCACCTGAGTCCGCCCTGACGCGTGGGCCTGCGCCGCAGGGTGGTGGTGCTGGACAAGGTGACGGACCTGCTGCTGTTCTTCGGGAAGCTACTGGTGGTGGGGGGCATCGGGGTCCTGGCCTTCTTCTTCTTCTCGGGCCGTCTGCCTGGCGCTGGCTCCACGCCCCCTGCACTGCACTACTACTGGCTGCCCATCATCGTGAGTGCCCCAGGGCTTGGGGCTCCTGGAGGGTCTCTATGGGGTGGGCTGGGATTTGGAGGGTCTCTATGGGATGGGCTGGGGAGTATGGGTTATGGGGGTTCCTATGGGAAGATTTAGGGGCTCTGGAGGTGCCAGGGTGATGGGGGACTCTAAGGGGTGGTCTGGGACATGGGGGGTCTTTAGGAGGTGGGGGTGGGATTATGTGGGTTTCTATCATTGGGGGAGTTATGAGTTTTGGGGTGTTCCTATGGAGCAATCGAAGGGGTCTGGGGGGTGTTTGGATCAT